GGAAAAACTTCAAGAAATTCTCGTGGTGATGAGTAAAGAGAGACCAAAACAATCTCAATAGGCTAAATAATATATCGCGACTATCACGGCACAACTACAACACTTCACCTATACATGTTCCGGTAACTACCTATAAATAGATGGAAGTTTGACCCGTGTCAAAGGTTGGGGGTGGCTGACGATTGGGAGGTGGCTGCGGATGTGGCCATCGCGCAGCAAGGCGAGAGAGGGGCGTACGGCGTACGGTATCTAGTCGCCCATAGCGAGGCTACCAAAATAAATTTAGTTCTGGTCCTAGGCCTATCCTCGGCCCACATTTTGACAGTGTGTGGTCACTGGCCGGACTTGAAACTTTAATGGCACTTCAAAGCGTTGTATTCAGACTTTGTGAGTTCGGGGATTAAAAGGAAAGGTGAGATTCGACCACCAGATCTAATCTAGATCTAGCAATCTAGATCTGTATATCTAGATCTACTGCTTTCTAGACTATAATCTAGATCCAGAATCTAGATTATAGATCTAGATCTAGAGATCTAGATCTAGATCTAGATCTAGATCTAGATCTAGATTTTTCTAGATCTAGATCTATAGCAAATGCCAATGAAAATTTAATTTTTCACTTTTCCACCCTGATAAAATTTTAACGAATAGATGTACCGGTCCGAGATTCTCCTTGGAGAGATATTAAAAACGGGGAAATTATGAATTCCTAAGGTTGAGACATATAGATCTATATATCTAGACAAAGTCAGTCCGGTGGTCCGGTATTCTTCAATCTTACCAAGAATTTTCAATTCTAAGAATTATGCTTCTTGAATTTTATGAATCGGTTCTTAAATAAAAAAAAGTTATGGGGTTGTAAAGGTCGGCAAAATATGGATGACCCACATATTAATACGAAAGGCCACCTCTATTCACCCCGGGTGAGAATAGTGCAGTCGAGTCTTTTGGCTATTCTCACCCAGTGCGCGTTTACCGTTATAGCCTAGATCTAGGCCAACCAATTTTGCGTTCACCCTAAACCACATCTACTGTTAGCCTAGGCCTAGGCCTACTAAAAGCGTACAATTTTGTATGTGGGCAGTGGAGAGAGAGAAAGAGAGAGAGAGAGAGGAGTAGCGCGAGAACTTCCGGGCAAAACAAAATGGCGACCCGCGTAGTTCTGTTCGATTCGAAAAGTTAAATAGTCGTAGCATCTTTGTAGACGACCAAATTAATTTACTTTTGTGTTTTAACATAATTTTTAAACTTGGTTTTGGTCAATTTGATCGTGCACACCGATAGACAGTATTCAGAAAGAGATAGAGAGAGAGAAGAGGGGAGGAGTAGATCTTGCGAGAACTTCCAGGCAAAACGATAGAGAGAGAGAAGAGGGGAGGAGTCAAGGATCTTAAAACTAGGGCCTAACTTTTAATCTCCTTGGGAGGGGTAGATCTTGCGAGAACTTCCGGGCAAAACAAAATGGCGACCCCCGTAGTTCGGCTCGATTCGAAAAGTGAAATAGCCATAGCATCTTTGTAGTCGATAAAATTAGCTTGCTTTTGTGCGTTAACGTAATCTTTTCTTTGCCTTTATATGTTTATCCATTTGGTCATCCACATCGATATAAAGTATTCTGAAATTAGGAAAAACAGGTCTTGCTTCACACCGGGTGAGAATAGCCTACGGTGGCAAGTCTCACCCGGGGTGAGAGGTCGATCCTATTCTCACCCCGGGTGAGACTAGCCACTTCCAAAATAGGAAAATACTCCTAAAAAGTGGACAATGCAGTATCAGATTAAGATAATCGACGATATCTCGGAGTAACTAATCGGAGTGTTAGAGAGAAACTTGGCTACCCGATGTGTTTTTGGGTGTAGATCTAGATCTAGAAATAATTTCTGCAGTCAGATTTACTACCTATTTCGTAGTTATTTTATTAAAATTTTGGTGTAGATATAGAATCGATTTACGATTTTGCGAAAAAGGGGTGTCGGGATGAGTCCATTTTATTTTTTATCGAAGTGACTGTTCGGACTCGAGTCCGAATATGAAAAAAAGTTATTCGGACTTTGATTCTTGTCCAGCATGACATCACTTCCGACTTCCTG